GTCCTGAATAGAGGACCGCGCGTGACCACGCATCCTTATTCAAACAAATGCGAAATGACGCAAGTGCGCGTCGGAAGATAGCTGGGGGAACTCAGAGAAGGACATAAGAGCAGCGCCGTCGTCACAGTCACCATCGTCGTCATCACCAACATCAGCGCACTCATCACCGCCGCCATCATCACCCCCATCGTCGCCGTCGCCACCGCCCCTGGGTTGCGGGGGAGGAGAGCGGGGAGGAGAGCGGGGGGGAGAGCGGAGGAGGAGCGTGGAGGAGGAGAGCGGAAGAGGAAAGTGGAGGAGGAGGAGGAGGAAGAGGAGAATGAGGAGGAGGGTGGAGGAGATGGGGGAGGAGCGTGGAGGAGGAGGAGGGTGGGGGAGAGTCGAGGAGGACACCGGGGGAGGAGAGCGGAGGAGGAGAGCGGCAGGGGAGAGCGGAGGTGGAGACTGGAGGAGGAGTGTGGAGGAGGGGAATGGGGGGGGGAAAGCGGAGGAGAAGGGCGGAGGAGGAGAATGGGGGAGGAGAGCGGCAGAGAAGAGTGGAGGAGGAGAGTGGAGGAGGAGCGTCGTCGCCGTCGCCGCCGTCGTCGAGAGGACGAGGAAGAACAGGAGATTGGGAGGAAAGGGAAAGGGGGTACTATGCAGGAGAGAGGGGGGGCAGAGGGAAGGGGGATTTTCCTTTGGGTGGCGGGCGGGCGGAGGGCGTGCGCCCGAACGGCGCAGCGCAGCCTGGCGAGGGCGCCCGCCAAGACAAGGGGCGACCCCGGGCACCTAGAAACGGAAACGAAAAGCCCAGCAACCACGCCGAGGCGGCCCCCTGCCCCCCGCCCCCCTCCGACCACCCCGCCCGTGAAAACTCCGCGGGGCGCTGGCGCTGCGTCTGGCGCCCGGGGGGCGGGGCTCTTCGCCCGAAGCCGCTTCGTCGAGCGCAACCCATCGATGACGTAATTGCTGCGAAGCGGGCGCTTGAGTGGCCCGACGCCGGCGACGCGGTCCAGGGCCGCTCTGGCCTCGCAGAACACGTCCACCATCGTCTCGGGCAGGGCGACCTAGCTCGCGTTTCGCGCGCTGCCCAGCCTGGCGTCGTTCGCTCTGCGGGCAAAAAAAGGGTGCTCGTGGAACTCCCCGCTCGCCACCATGTCCTCGGAGACCGCGCGGAACCGGTTCCGCCCCAGGAGCAGCCGCCTGGCGCAGCGGCGGTCGCCGAGCTTATCGGGGACGAAGGCGAGGAACTCGCTCGCGAGGAGTCGGAGGATGAATTCTGCCCCATCTCCAAGAAAGGCGCTGTCCTGGACATCGGCGATTCCATGCGCTTCAAGGCCTGCGGCGGAAGCGCCCCAAGCAGGAGGAGAGCGTGCCCGATTGAGAACGTGGGGGCCCCGTGGATGGCCCGCGCCAGGGCATTCCCGGGCTCGGCTTCTGTCGCGCCGCGCAAGCGGACCTCCTCGGCGGCAGCCGCCACCGTGCCTGGCTGCACGCGCTGGGGCGCCTCAGGCCCCGCGCAAGTACTTGTTTTCAGCGCTGCGCGTGCCACTCGCGGGACCCATGGGTCGAATGCCCAGCTGCCAGCAGGCGCCCAAGATGCGCCAGAGAAGCCCAGGAGGCGTTGGAGGCCCCAAAGAGGGGGAAAGGCCCAATGGCTCTGCGGGCAAGAAGGATCAGAATGGTGAAAAGGGCGCGGATCACGACAATGGCGATCACGAGGAGCAGGGCGGGGACGGGGAGGATGAAGAGGGCGAGATTGCGAAAGACGTGGATGAGAATGAATCAAAGGATGGCAACGCGCTGGGCTCGGGCAGCCCTCGCATTGGGGACATCACAACGTCGAGGGCATCATGAAACGTAATCGATGTACCAATGTCGAAAGCATGGCCCGAGTCGGGGCTCCTCCTCCGACCATCCTCCTTCTCCTCCCCCCATCCCTCCTGCCCCCTCCTCCTCCTCTCCACTCTCTCCTTCTCGCCCCCTCCCGTTCTCCCGGCTCGCCGCGGCCACCCGCATGCAAGCGGAGTGCGACGAAGGTGGCAAGGGCGTCCGCGTCGACGCCTCACCTCGCCCCTGCGCCGCCCGGCGCGCGCCGTGCTCCGCTCTGTGCCCTCCTTGGGTTGCCTCAAACCTCCCTGGAGCACTACACGGAGTCCAAAACGGACCGGGAGGCCACCGAAGCCGCCCAAATGGACCGAGATGCCTCCAACACGGCCCAAACTGGCCCAAGATGGCTTCAGGACCGCCCAAGACGCCTCCAAGACGGCCCACAAGGGCTCCAAGGGAGCCTCCAACACGGCCCGAATAATCTCGAATCGCTGTTTTTTCTTACGCGTTTGAAGATGTTTCGCATTCTCGCCTTTTCGAGCTTCCGTCGGCTCAAGCAACCCAAGAAGCCTCCAAAACAACCCCAAGACGGCCCAGGGGGCTTCCCGTGCGGCCTCGACGCAGCCGAAGTGGGCCCCCGGAGAGCCCAGGAGGGCCCCGGAGAGCCCAAGACCCAAGACAGACCCAAGAGGGCCCCAAGCTGGCCCTACAGGGCCTCAGGATGAGCCCGAGACGGCCTACGAGGACCCCTGGGCGGACCAAGACGGCCCCACGGCGGGCCGCAAAGACCCCCCCGACGGTCACGAAAGTCCGAAGAGAGCCCCCAAACGAACCAAGAGGACCTTAAAACGCCCCAAGAAGGCCCAAGGGACCCCCGAGACGGCCCCGCAGGATCCCAGGATAGCCCAAAGACGGATAAGCTGCAGTCCATGTCCCCCCTGCGGATATACCGGCGAAATTTGTCTCCTCCACCTCCTCCTCCTCCTCCTCCTCCTCCTCCTCCTCCTCCTCCTCCTCCTCTCTCCTCCCTCCTCCTCCTCCCCCTGCACCTCATCCTCATCCTGCTCATCATCATCATCATCATCATCATCATCATCATCATCATCATCATCATCATCATCATCATCATCATCATCATCATCATCATCATCAGCATCAGCATCAGCATCAGCATCAGCATCACCATCATCAGCAGCATCATCATCATTATCATTATCATCATCATCATGATCACCGTCCCCATTATCACCACCACCACCATCATCAGCATCGTCGTCATTATCAGCAGCATTATCATCATCAGCATCGACATCATCAACAGCCACATCATCATCAACACCAGGCGCGACCAGAGCAACCGAAAAACAACCGACGGGCGCGACCTGGCGCGGCCGCGCGCAATCGCAAACAAGCAAAAACCAACGCGGGCGAGCCAGGGGTCGGCGCCGCTGCCTGGCGTCCTCGGGCGCTCCCCGGCGCAGCCGCGCGCAATCGCACATAAACGCAAACAAACGCGGGCGAGCCAAGGGTCGGCGCCGCCGCCTGGCGTCCTCGGGTGCGCCCTGGCGCGGCCGCGCGCAATCGCAAATAAGCAAAAACCAGCGCGGGCGAGCCAGGGGTGGGCGCCGCCGCCTGGCGTCTCGGGCGCGCCCTGGCGCAGCCGCGCGCAATCGCAAAGCAGCAAAAACCAACGCGGGCGAGCCAGCTGGCGTCCTCGGGCGCGCCCTGGCGCAGCCGCGCGCAATCGCAAGTTAGCAAAAACCAACGCGGGCGAGCCAGAGGTCGGCGCCGCCGCCTGGCGCCCCCGTGAAACCAGGCGTCTCGCTCGAGACGCTCAAGACACCTCCTCATGCTAGACATCTGCCGGGGCGACCTGGGCAAACGAAAACGAGCGTCTCGCTGGAGACATCCTCCGATAATCTTCATGTTGGACATCCGCCTAGGCGACCTGGCTACGTGAAAACAAGTGTCTCGCTTAACACATCCTCAGCACATCCTGATGCTAGACATCCGCCTGGGCGACCTGGCCACGTGAAAGCAAGCGTCTCGCTCGAGGCATCCTCAAAACACCTTCATGTAAGACATCCACCTGGGCGATCTGGGCACATAAAACCAAGCGCTTCGCTCGAGACCTTCTCAATACCTCCTCATACTAGACATCCGCCTGGGCGACCTGGACACGAGAAGAAAACAAGCGTCTCTCTCGAGAAATCATTCACTAATCCTCATCTTGGACATCCGCCTGGGCGGCCTGGACACGTGAAACCAGTGTTTCGCTCAACGCATCCTCGTGCTAGACATCCGCCAGGGCGACCTGGACACGTGAAACCAAGCGTCTCGCTCGAGACGATCTCAACACCTGCTCATGCTAGACATCTGCCTGGACGACCTGGACGCGTGAAAACAAGCGTCTCGCTCGAGACATCCTCAACAAATCCTCATGCTAGACGTCTGCCTGGGCAAACTGGAGGCGTGAAACCAAGCGTCTCGCTCGAGACATCCTCAAGACCTGGGCACGTGGAACCAAGCATTTCACCTGAGACTTCCCCTTAATTCTGGTCCACAGGAAAGGAACGATATATAAGACAAAACAGACTTGTCGCTCGAGATATCCTCAACAAATTCTGCGAGACAAACGTTTCGCTCGAGACATCCGCAACACACACACACATGCTTACTTTACCCTGTGTTGATTGGAATTTAAAAGCAAGCGTTTCGCTAGGGATATCCTCAATATTCGATTCCGCCAGCCCTTCGCGACCGCATGATTGAAAGAAAATGTCTCCGCGGCACCCGCCGCACAACAACGACGAGGACGAGGAGCTCCAGGATGAGGAGGGGGGAGGAGGAGGAAGAGGAGGAGAAGAAGCAGGAGGAGAAGGAGGAGGAGGAGAAGGAGGAGGAGGAGGCGCGAGCTGATTCGCGGCCGAGAGAAACACGGGGGGAACGACACAAATAACTAAAGACATCCTGAAGTTACCTCCCCCAACATCCGCCGACCTTCCGTCGGCTTCTCCCGGCAAAGCTGCTCTGGTTTTACTTCCGCCGCCTTCCGCTGGCCCTTCGCCGAGGAAGACCCGTGAACCGTGAACCTCTCGATGATCCTCGGAGCCGAGGCCCCTCCGTGGGACGCCCCAGGTGGCACGGGCTGGGCACGGTGGTGGCGAGCCCTGCGCCTCCTGCGGGTGCTCCGGCACCTGCAGCACGGCCCCGACGGCCTCGCGCAGGGGGTGGCGGGCGGTGTCGAACGCCACGACCTTGTGCGCCCGGAGCGCCTCATCGAACGCCACCGGCGGCAGCGGCGCCTGCGCGAGGCGCCGTTCGACCTCCGCCAGCCGCGCCGAGTACTGGGCGGCGACGCGCGAGACGTCAGCGCTGGCCGCGAGCGCGCCGCTGCGTAGCGACGCCTCGAGCTCCGCGAAGGCGGCCCTGTCGAGGGGCACAACGATCGGTTGGGAACTTGTGCTTGGCCTGTCACCACGGCGGCCCTTTAGAGCGGATGGCCTGTCGCTTCGCTTCGCGGGGCGGGAAACTCGGAGAGGCTTGAGGGTTTCTGGCGCGTCGCGCCGAAGCGCGGTGGGCCGGGCCGGAACCGGCGGTGCGTCACGCTCTCCAGAAGTTCTCGACCGTAGCAGGGGCTGGCTCAGGGGGGGGGGGGGCATCGACCCCGACTCGGCGATGCATCGCCGATAGATCGGCGACAGGCCCGCGACGATGACTCCGCTCGGTCCTGGGCGGGGTGGCCGATCGGGCCCCCGTCGGCGATCAGTTGGCGACTGGGGGCCGACGCATGCCCCCCTCCACCTGCCCCCTCCCCCGTGATGCTGCCCCTGGCCTGTACGCCTGCCGCGCGCCCGGCAGGTCTGGGGCACGGAAGTCGCCCAGGCTGCGGCCCTTGCGCCCGACCTCGAGGGACTTGGCGGCGTCGAACTGCGACTGCAGCTCCTGCGTGAGCACCCCGCCGTAGGGCTTTGGCGCCATCCCTCTGGCGCCCGAGCCGACATGGCCACGGAGGCGGGGGGAGGGGTGGCGCTGAGCCCGCCCTGAGTGAACGTCCCCCTTCTTCCAAAAGTCACCTCGGATGTCGCTCCTGGCTATACAATCCGTCTCCAGCTCCTTTTTTCTCTCTCCCTCCACCCCTCTCCCTCTAAGGTCGGGGACCCGCGCGGATGTCTTGGATCGGCGCTGGACCCCATCCCTGGCGCGCGGAGGGCGCCAGGGGCGGCACCAGGGGCGCCACCAGGCGGGCCCAGCACAGATCCAAGAAATCCGTGCGGACCTCCGAAAATCTATGCTTGTGTCCCAGACGTGCGATGTCTCGATTTGTTTGTTCCATACGCAGTCCCCAGAAGTCTGGACCCTTTCCCAGGGCTGGTGTTTCATCCTGGGTCATTGTTGTAACTGTCCCGGTGCCCTGTAAGGGCCCCCAGAGGCCGAACATGCAGAGCACCTCCGTTCTGATTTGTTCAGGACGCTGCATCTCTGGATCTTCCGCTCCCGCGCTGACCTTCATGGTCTGATCGGGTCCCGTCTTGTCTCTCCTTTGGGCGGCGCGCCGAGGGGGCGAGTGAGAGGGTGCAGGCTTTCTCAGGATGCGGCAGGGATTCCAAGAAGCCCTTCGGCCTTCGGAGAAGCCGTCTCTGTCTGGAGATAAGGCTTCCAAAGCTTCTCAGACGAGCAGCATAGATGCCCCAGCTTCCCAAACTATCCGCCGCCGCTGGAGCGTCTACACGCCGGTTTCCTTTGCCGAGTCCGTTGGCTCCCTGGCCGACCAAACACCGCGGTAATTATACAAATCGAGCCCCTCCGAGGGCCGGCGGGTCAGGGGCCTCAGGGCCCGACACCGATGCGGCCGGGCCCGATCGAGACCCTGGCCTCCCTTTCACTCCTCCTCCTCCTTGGCATGACGCGGCTGACACCCACGGCGTTGCCCAGGACACCCACGGCGTTCCCCAGGACAAGCTTGACGTCCGGAGTCGGTTTCAGACAGTCCAGGGGTCAGTGTAGGGCTCCGGGATGCCAAAAACTGCCCCAAGCCCCCAGACCTGTTCCCCTCAGTACCCGTTTGCTTCATGGCGATTCTCTCCACCTCCCACGTCGCCGCCGAAGGACGACGACTGCAGCAACGGCGGACAGCTATGAGGGCGACGATGACGACGAACGGCGACGACGACAGAAGACGATGGACAACGAAGATGACGCCAACGGGCGTAAGCGTAGACGGCGGACGACGACGACGACGACGACGACGACGACGACGACGATGACCGCGGACGATGACGACGGACGACGACGACGAGGACGACGACAACGACGACGACGATTACGACGACGATTACGACGACGATTACGACGACGATTACGACGACGAAGACGACGACGACGACGACGACGACGACGACGACGACGACGACGACGACGACGACGACGACGACGACGGCGGACGACGACGACGACGACGACGACGACGACGACGACGGACGACGACGGACGGCGGCGATGGCGGCGGCGGCGGCGGCGGCGGCGGATGCGGCTGGCGGCAACGGCGGCCGGCAAGGGCCGGCTGCGAACGGTATCGGCGGCGGCGCAATTTGCTTGCGGCCCGCGGGGCCTTGCCGGGCGCCAGCAGCGCGTCTGGGCCGGGCGGGACGTGCCGGAAGTCCGCGTGAGGGAAGGCCGACTGGCGCCGCCGGATCGCGACGGAGTGAATTGGGGCAGGGGTTCGAGGCCTCCCTGGCCGAGGAGCGGATGGGGGGAGAGGAGGAGGGCAAGGGGGAGTAGTGCACAGAGGGGGCGGCGGATCGATTAGCTTGGGTTCTCTGCGGATTTCCATCCTCGGGGTGCCTTCCAGCAGCAGCGCCGCGTCCAGCGCTCTGGAGGTGCCTGGATTGTCCCGGAGGGGTCGGAGTGGTGGGCGGAGGGTCTCCCAGGTTGTGATGTGACCCCCCCCAAGGTGGGAGCACCCCTCCCTGGGAGACGCTTTCGGCTCCAGAGCGTTAGCGTCGTTACCGTCGTCGTTGTCGTCGTCGTTGTCGTCGTCGTCCCCTTTCAGGCCGAGGTTTGAGGCTCGACAGTCCAAGTCATTGGGGCATTTCTCGCCTCTGCTAGACCGCTTCTCCTGGGCCGCCTCGCCAGCAAAGCTGTGTCCACCTCGATGTGTTCTGGCTGGAGCGTGCCTCAAGACAGGTCTGGGCGTCGACTGTCGAGGCCAGAAGCCCAGATCAAGAATTGACGTTGCAGGCTCGGCGTTTCAAGCCACTTTTAATCAACGATAAAAGCTGCATTAGCATAAGCTGTTGGAGGTTCGCGCGGATTTCTTGGATCGGCTCCGGGCCCCCTGGCGACAAATGCAGCGTCAGCCCTTGTGTGCTGAGCGCGCAACGGAAGGAGGTCCAACGCCCATCCGAGAAATCCGCGCAAACCTCCAGTTGCTTATGCTGATTCAACGCTTTCCTCTTCGATATTTGTTTGGGGGTGCGGGGGTCCATCCTTTGCCGCGTCTGCCTGGGCGCCGATCTTGTCCCATTCGTCCTCCGAAAGGCCGAGGGCCAGCAAAAGCGCCCGGAGCCTGGGGCCTGGGGCTGCACGCAGGAGTGACCCGAGGCAACGAGTAGCCTTTGGTGCGCGGCTGTGGGGGGCCAAAGGGGAGGCCCAGGCCACGCAATGCGAACGCGGCGGCCAGTGCTGGCGGGACCCCTGCGAGCCCGCACCAAGGGCCACTTCGACGAAGGGCTACTGTCACGCATGGCCAAGGTCTGGGCTGCTCCCGTCGGGCGTTGCGTAATGGGGGGGCGATGGGCGGGGGGGAAGAAAGTGCTCCTTTTATGCCATAGAAAAGGCCCCATGGGGCCCAAGTGGTGCACATCCCACCAATTTCACCGGGAAAAGATTCAAATAAACCACGTTTAGCCGCGAATGTTTTTTACCACGAGGATCTCGACGACGACGACGACGACGACAATGGCAAGGAGACGAGGGCGACGACGATCATGACGACGAGGGCAGGGTGAGGAGAAGAGGGAGGACGATCATTCCCAGGACACGCAGCGCCAAGCCTTAGGTCGGGCGTGTCCTCCTACAGGCGGATTTTGGATGAAAAAGATTAAGTAATCAAAGCTGTTCAAGAATAGTCAATAGTAATCGAACAATGGATCAATGGTTCCCGAACTATTGTATGACGATGTTTGAATATTCCTCCTGTAGAGGAGCATGCCCGATCTATCCAAGCCCAGTTCCCTCCGTCGCGGCTCCAGCACCGCGCCCCACGGGCCGGAGGGGACTTGCCTCCACGTTGCTGCTGGGTGTCGGCGCCTGGATCGTTTCCAGTGGCGCAGCAGCGCGCTGCTGCACGGCGGTCGAGGATCGAGGAGAGGGGATCGAGGGGGATCGAGGATCGAGGGGGGGGGGTCGAGGATCCATGGGGGGGATCGAGGGGGTCGAAGATCCATGGGGGGGGAATCGAGGGGATCGAGGTTCCAGGAGTGGAACGATGGAAGAGAACGATCGAGGAGGGGACCGAGGTCGCAGGCGCGAGGGCCCCCAGGCCCGAGCGAAGCGCCTGGACTGCGCGGGAGGCAGCCCGCCCGAGGCCGGCGGCGCCCTGGGCGCCACGGAGCCGTTGGCGGACGGCCGCGTCGCTCGCGGGCGGACCGCCCGGGCGTCGTGGGCAGAGGCCCCCTTCGCGGGCGAAGAGCGGTGCGAGGAAAGGTTTTCCGCCGCCGGGGGCGCCTGCCCCACGGGCGGCTGGACAGCTTACACCCCTGCGTGGCGTGCCCGGACTGAAAAGATCATGTCGCCGGAGATGTGAATCCTCAGGCCAGAATGAGGCCTTCGGCGGCCGTTCGAACGGATCCTGGCCCCTTAGAGCGCTCTCGGCCCGCCGCGTGGTCTTCGGAAACGGCAGGGCTGCTTTTTGCCGCTCCCAACACCTTAACCTCGAGAACGAAAAGACGGAGCCCGAGCCGGAGCCGGAACAAAAAATGGCGATGGCACCACAAGACGAAGACGGCGCTGGAGCCGGGAAGCGCCACGGCGAAACGCACTTAAAAATGGCATACCAGAGCAGCAACACAAAAAAAGCGCCAGCACTGGGAAGCCCGGCGGCTAAACAAAAACGCAACAAAACAAGGCGGCCCTGTCGTTGCCAAGACGGGCAGGCGGCGGGCGCGTCGCTCGCCCGCGGCCCCCCGCGGCGCGGGCCCGGGCGAGGCGCGGCGCGGGCGGCGGCCGGCGGGCGGCGGCGGGCGCGTGTCCGACAGGTCGGCGGGCGGGCGGCGGGAGTCGCAGGGCTGGAAGTCCTGGGGCGGAGGTGTGGGAGCGAGGAGCCCAGACACCCTCGAGGCATGGACAAAAACAAGACTAAAGGCATCTCTCTGAAATTGTCGGCCTCCGGGGCGCGAAATAATGCTCCCCAGATGAGGAATACAGATCCAGTGAAGAAACATAATCTCGCTTGAGCTTCCCCTGCACGTCGGGGCGATCAATGGGTGAGGAAGAATGGTGCCCTTGTCGGGCCCGACAGGCCCCCAACTATCGCCCCCTCATTACGCGCCACCCAAGCCCCTGGGGGCCCTTACTTACCGGGCCTCAGGACCGTCGAAAAACGACTCGGGATGAATAACCAGTCCTGGGGAATGGGTGGAGCCCTCTGGGGGTCGACGTCGTGACGTCCGCCAATTATCCGCACATCGGGGGAGTCATCGTGGACCCCGTCGCTGGAGGCGGCTCCCCTGGTGGTGGTGTCGCAGCTCCCTCCTCCGACTCGCCAACGCTCGGACGTCCATCACCTGTGCGTTATTCGATTTCGTGTGTGTAGTTTTCGCAAGGTGATCTCGGATGCTCCACGATGGTCTTCGCCGAGGAAAACATATATATACACACACACACGTCCGAGCGATGCCAAGCCGAAAGTGGGGGGTGGGGCGGGGGGTTTAGGAGGCAGCTCATGGGAGGTCTCAGTGGGAACGGTATGGAGTCGATGCAACGGGGCCAATAGGCCAGATCAGACCAGATGCAGGGATCGACCTAAACATAGTTTTTCGTGTTGAATGTTGTTTTCGTTTTCCTTCGTGTGGTCTTCAATCCGCCCTTCCTGCAAAACGGAATCGGAACGAAAACGGCCCACGAAATCGCCGAACCGAACCACTGCTTAGGTCGACCCCTGCCAGAAAGAGCCCAAGATTGAGCCAGAATAAGCGGCACTCAGCCGGATTAACTACACGGCTTCGATGCTGAATGCTATAACCTCCCTGAAGCTGCAACCGATGGGGTGTTGCCCTGGCCCCCCCGCGAGAGCGAGAGGCTGTGGCTGTACACGAAGTCGTCTGGTCGGCCGAGAAGCGCTGTGTTGAGACGCCCCAGCTCCCCAACCTGTGGGATTCTGGAACGACTACACAACGAGTTTTCCGTCGCCGAATTGATTGGCCCCTTGGCCCATCAAACGACGCGGTGTATACGTCGAGCCTGTCCGAGCGACGTGATCAATCAAAACGGAAGGATCTTCACAGGTTTCGGCCTCTGGGAGGCCCTCACCGGCCCCGGGGCCGTCGACGAAAAGACTTACCCAGGATGAAACGCTGGTCCCAGCACAAGGTCCCGACCTGCAGGGTTTCACGCTGGTGAAGAACACTACGCCGGATGTCTGGGTAATTCGGACTCTAGGTTGGCCTCGCACGCGCCTGGGCACGGAGTCTGGGTAGAGGAAAGAGCCACAAGCGACGGCGGCGACGAAGGAGAGCGACTACGGCAGACGATTCGGTGTTCTTACTTTGGTTTGAGCCCTGGGGCCCTCATGGATCGAAGCGAGATGGGATCCAGGGCCCTGGTTTCGACTTGCCCCGATGTTGCATGTGTCCTGCGTCGTCAGATCTGGAGGAAGGGGGCCATGAGGCTCGCGCCGAATGCGCAGCCGCTACGCACTCGGATCTCCTAGCGCTGAGAAAATCACGTCGGGAAGTCTTCCTCAATTTTCGGCCTCTTAGCGTCTGCACTGGGCCCCAACATGAAAAGCCAGTCGACGAAGAGGTCCAGACCTTGGGGGCAACGCTGCGAAAAAACACGACGTCAAAGGTCGGGGGGAGGCGGGCCTGCTCCGACATGTTTCCCCCCCCCTTTCTCCATGTCTATTTCACACCCAACGCCCTCGCCCACTCCTCCCCCACTTCTCCTCCTCCTCCTCCTCCTCCTCCTCCTGCTCCTCCTCCTCCTCCTCCTTCTCCCCCTTCTCCTCTTCCTCTTCCATCTCCTCCTTCTCCTGCTCCTCCTGCTGCTGCTCCTCCTCTTCCTTCTCCTCCTCCTCCTCATCATTATGACCATCACCATCACCATCACCATCAACATCACCGTCACCTTCACTATCACCATCAGCACAATCAGCATCATTAGTATCATCATCATCCTCATCATGATTCTCATCATATCCTCATTCTCATCCGCATCCCCATCCTCATCATCCGCCTCATCCTCATTACCATCCTCATCCTCATCCTCATCCTCCTCCTCATCATCATTATCATCAGCAGCATCAGCATCAGCATCAGCATCAGCATCAGCATCAGCATCAGCATCAGCATCAGCATCAGCATCACATCACCATCACCATCACCATCACCATCACCATCACCATCACCATCACCATCACCATCATCATCATCATCATCATCATCATCATCATCATCATCATCATCATCATCATCATCATCATCATCATCATCATCATCATCACCGTCATCACACACACGCAGACTCCCGCCCCACCCCTGTCTACGCTCCCCTCCCCCTCCAAAGTTTAGTATGAATGCTCTTCCCTGGCAAGGCCCCACAACGTACCACCCCGTCCCGAATCGGCCACCGTGTCCCTGGTACGTTGAGGCGCGGCAGAATGCCAAGGGCTGTCTGCTAGGGTGTCTATAATCTTTCAACGGGACCCCCTCCCCCTCTTCTCACCGAGTTCTGCGTGCACCAGCCTCCCTTCCCAAGTCACGATCCTTTGGGCCCCGAGGCCCCGATCCCAAAGCAAATGGTCCGCCCTCCCGAACAATGCCGCCCAACATGGTTTCAAGACAGCCGCAGAAGCCCCCACGACGGTCCAAGAGGGCCACAAGATGACGTCCAGTAGGGAAAGACGAAGCCCAAATATAGCACCCCGCAATTGCGGATAAGAGTGAGGGGGCGGGCGCGGGCGACGCGGGCGTCGAGCCGGCGGACCTCGTGGCCGTCACCTTCCCTGTCGATGGCGCACTCCTGCTCCTCCTCCTCCTCCTCCTCCTCCTCCTCCTCCTCCTCCTCCTGCTCCTCCTCCTCCTGCTCCTCCTCCTCTTCCTCGTCCGCATCCTCGTCCTCATCGTCGCCGTCGTCGTCGTCGTCGTCGTCCGCCTCCTCCTCCTCCTCCTCCTCCTCCTTTTCCTCCTCCTCCTCCTTTTCCTCCTCCTCCTTTTCCTCCTCCTCCTCCTCCTCCTCCTCCAGCTCTCCGGTCGCCGATGCAAAAGAAACCCGCCGCAGGCGCCGAAGTTTTGGCTTGTTCAGTGAACGTAGTTTGGGTCGCGGGTGGGTCGCGGGTTCTGCACCTCCACCTGGAAGGGATTCAAAAACAGCCCGCCGCAGGCGCCGAACATTTTGATTTGTAAACTGAACGCGGTTTGGGTCGCGGGTGGGTCGCAGGTTCTCCACCTGGAACGAAGGCAAAAGAAACCCGCCGCAAACGACGAACATTTTGAGTGGGTCGCGGGGTGGGTCTCGGGTGGATCGCGGTTGAGTCGCGTAGGGTCTTAAGTGGGTCGCGGGTGGGTCGCGGGGTAGGTCGTAGGGTGTGTCGCGGGTGGGTCGCGGGTGGGTCGCCGGTGGGTCGCGGGTGGGTTGCCGGGGGGTCTCGGGGTGGGTCGCGGGCGGGTCGCGGGGTAGGTCGCGGGTGTGTCGCGGGTGTGTCGCGGGTGTGTCGCGGGGTGGGTCGCGGGTGGGTCGCGGGTGGGTCGCGGGATGGGTCGCGGGTGGGACGACGTCAACAACAAACAACAAACAACAAACAACAAACAACAACCAAGAACCAAGAACCAGCAGCAACAACAACAAAAACAAACAAACAAACAAACAAACAAACAAACAAACAAACAAAGAAACAACAACAAGAATCCGCATCGCGGAATTCCACTTCAGCCACGCACCCAGGGACAGTGAATGGCCGTTCGGTTCAGCCCCCTCACTCTGATGAATGATTTTCCTTGGGTGCTCAAAAGAGGTGGGCATCTTCACTTATTCGGGCGCCCAGCATCTCCAGGCGGAAACCTCCGAGAGGGTCGACGGAGAAGCCCTCGACGGCCTTAGTGGGCTCCTCGACGGCCCAAGACGGACCGACGACAGCCTCCAGCAACCTCCCAGACGGCCAAGAGCGACCAACTATGGCCGCCGGGAGCCCCAAGCGGGCCCAGGACGGTCCAAGAGAACACCAAGGACCCAAGACTGCACCACAGGAGCCCAAGACGGCGCCAAGACGGCCCAAGAAGGCCACACGCTGGTCGGCTCACGCGTTGCAGCCTCCTGCCGCCCGTCGAACAATCGCCTCCGAGAGCACTGGGCTGGCATGGTGTCGGGAGGTGCCGCAGGATTTCATCTCAATCACCAGCCACTAGTGGTTTGTAGATGGTCCTTCAAAAATGTGCTGCCGCTGCAGCCTGCAGCGTTGACAATTGTTCACGATCGGTGCGGTGCTACACCTCAGAAACCAATGGCGCTCTCACCCCAGCGCGGGCCACTTTGCTGGATCCGATTCCTTCCTAGCCGTTGCTTCTTGGCAGAAGGTGCCAGCTCCCTCGAGCTCACGCCGACATTTCTTGCTGGCCCGCTTCGCAATGCTCCTCCTCCGTCCCTTCTTCCGCTTCCTTCTCCTCCGCCTCTTCCTCCCCCGCCTCCTCCATTTTGACATTGGACGAACATCAGCGGCGGGGATGTTGCGTTCATGTGGCACTACAAGATCAGAGTGAGGGGGCTGAACCGAACGGTCATTCACTGTCCCTGGGTGCTTGGCTGAAATGGAAATCCGCGATGCGGATTATTCTTGTTGTTGTTGTTGCTGCTGCTCCTGTTGTTGTTGTTGTTGTCGTTGTTGTCGTTGTTGTTATTGTTGTTGTTGTTGTTGAACATTATTAATTCTAAAGAATAATTATTGTTGGGGCCCCTGGTGCACGGCCCCCCCGCCGCGCCTAGGCCGCAGCTACATTTTCATCATTTTTTCGCGAAAGCTTCAGAAAAGTGGATGGGGTCCAGATCCGGTTGTTTTGTTGTAATCCGTTTTCCCTTGCAAAAAACACTATAAAATGACATTTCTTGTTCTAATATAATCAAATTTCAAGAATCCCTTGCAAAAAATAAGGTAAAGTGGACATTCGCGCGCGCAAGACGAAATCCTTCCAAAAGCTTAGTGTTCGGAGCGATTTTAACATAAAAACATCAAAAAACCAATGGTTTTTCAACAAAAAAATGTCAAAATCTCATCCCGCGCGCTCTTGCGGATTCGTAGGAAAACCAACACTTTTTAAACATTTCTGTCAAACGGGCTTTTGCGAGCAACTTTTTCGAACTTCTGCGACAACGGTTGCGCACCTGCCAGGGCCATCATCCCTGGCACTGATGCCTTTGCGTATTCCCACTTCGGCACAGGAATTTGATTAAAAAATGTGACGAACTCCTCTCTCTCTGTCTCTCTCTCTTTGTCTCTCTCTCTCCCGCTCTCTTCCTCTGTCTCGCCTTCTCTCTCTCAGTGTCTGTACCATGTCTAGCACTGGTAACAAAGGTATTTGTGTATCCCCACATCCGCCCAGGAATTCCACAAATGTGACCAACTATCTTGCGAGTACGTATCATCTCATGTGTGTCGTGCACACTATCAAATGTAACAGAGTTGTGTATTCCCATCATCCCAGGAACTTGACCCAAAAATGTGACCAACTCCGCTCTCTCTGTCTCTCTCTCTGTCTGCTCTCTGTCTCTCTCTCTGTCTCTCTGTATTATGTATTGTATGGCACAATTGCACCATGCTGGGCACATGCGCGCCCCGAATAAGTGACCAAGTTCTGTGGGTGTGTACCCCACGCCAGTGTAGTAGCCACGGTCGTCCGCACGCCACGAAGTGAAGTGTCCCAACGTCATAGGGCGGGAAGCTGGGTTTGGGTGGTCGCGAAGAGTCGTTTGGATATTTGGTAGAGCTTGTAATGCCCCCCCACGAAGTGGGGGTATTGCCTGGTGTCGTATGAAAACCCTGGCACTGGGGAGAACACCACGCGTTCGGGTAAAATGATTGTTGTTGTTGTTGTTGTTGTTGTTGTTGTTGTTGTTGTTGTTGTTGTTTTTTGTTTGTTGTTGTCGTCGTCCCACCCGCGACCCGCCCCGCGACCCACCCGCGACCCACCCCGCGACCCACCCGCGACCCATCCCGCGACCCACCCGCGACCCACCCCGCGACCGCCCCGCGACCCACCCGCGACCCACCCGCGACCCACCCCGCGACCTACCCGGCGACACACCCCGAGCCCCCCCCGGCAACCCACCCGCGACCCACCCGCGACCCACCCGGGATCCATCCGCGACCCTCCGCGACCCACCTGCGACCCACCCGCGATCCACCCCGTGACCCACCCAAAATGTTCGTCGCTTGCGGCGGGTTTCTTTTGGGCGGGCTGTTTTTGAATCCCTTCCAGGTGGAGGTGCAGAGCCCGCGACCCACCCGCGACCCAAACTGATAACGTTCACTGAACAAGCCAAAACTTCGGCGCCTGCGGCGGGTTTCTTTTGCATCGCCGACCGGAGAGCTGGAGGGGGAGGAGGAGGAGGAGGAGGAGGAGGAGGAGGAGGAGGAGGAGGAGGAGGAGGAGGAGGAAAAGGAGGAAGAGGAGGAGGAGGTGGAGGAGGAGGAGGCGGACGACGACGACGACGACGACGACGACGACGATGACGAGGACGCGGACCTGAAAGAGGGGGAGGAGGAAGAGGATGAGCAGGAGGAGGAGGAGGGTGCCATCAACAGGGAAGGTGAGGGCCACGAGGTCCGCCGGCTCGACGCCCGCGTCGCCCGCGCCCGCCCCCTCACTCTTATCCGCAATTGCGGGGTGCTATATAAAATTCGACTTAGGAAAAATATCAAACACGAGGGATCAGCACGCAGTAGTGAGAAGATGGGCAATAAGACGGTGCAAGATATGGTAGCCCGCTGGGGCGCGAAGTATGCGTACCGAGGTCCGTAATGAGGCTCCTCCTCCTCCTCCCTCCTCCTCCTCAATCCTCCTCCTCGTCCCTTCCTTCTCGTCCTCCTCGTCGTCCTTCTCGTCCTCCTCCTTTTTCTCCTCCTCATTGTCCTCCTCATACTCCTCCTCCTCTTTTTCCTTCGCCCCTTCCTCTTCATTATCCTCATCCTCCTCCTCCTGCTCCTCCTCCTCCTGCTCCTCCTCCTCCTCCTCCTCCTCCTCATCCTCCCTTCTCCACCCCCTCCGCCTCCTGCGATAGGAACTCGAACCAGGCTCCTCGAAGCGCCCCCGCCTCCCGGCGGAGTCTGTCGCCGCAGGCCTGCGTCTGGACCCCGCCGCCACCCATGTGGGCGCCCGACCAGGTCCAGAGCCCCGGATCCGCACCGAGTGCACATGCGCCTGGCCACGGCGACGAGGGCCCGCTGCGCCTTGGACTGCTTCGGCCCTGCCCTGGCCTGCCGGGGCGGCTCCGACAGCCCAGGCATGACTACCGATTGCGCCATGATGCGCGCCGCGCAGCCCACGTGCTCGCTGTCCCACGTAAGATGCATCCGCCCCAGGCCAACACGTTGCGCAAATCGCTGTTCATTCCGACACGACGACGTAGTCGTCACCGTGTCGCCGGGAATCCGACCAAGATCAAAATCCCCAGGCCCTTCCCGCTGTCCATCTGGAGGCCAGGAATCGTGAAAGACCTCTTTGGACTCGTCGTCGTGAACCGCTGTGGAGACCTTGAGCCCAAAACTGCTGCCATACCGTAACGGCGCATTCTCTGACACAGCGGAAAGCAAATCAACCTCATGAATTCTGGACGGCCTCTGGAGCCCGAAACGCGACACCAGGAACCGAACACCAAAACCTGATCGAACTCGTGGTCGTCGTCGCGGTGAAACCATGAGGAAGGAGCTCTCATGCTGTGGCTGCCCAGCCTTTCCCTGCCTGGCACAAGGACGCGCCGAACGACTTCAAGAGTCTCCAGCGTTGCTCTATGGGGGGCGTGATCGAAGGGGGGGGGCTTTGCGTGCCTCTTCTGGGCTCCAGGGCCCCTGTACGGCCCCTTCGGGGGAACAAACGATGCACCTTTCTTCACCCCCCCATGTATCGCGGGGATCGACTGCATCATCGATTGACCCTCGAAAACCTGTTTCGCCAAATCTGCAGAAACTGCGTGGAGAGCGTTCCGTAGATCTACGGAACATTCTGCATATTTGGTGTAGGATCCACGAACAAGTCAAGTTTGGGGTGCCAATTCCTTCTGTAGTCGATCCCCTATTCGAATTCATCGCCCGCGCGGCTACGCAACGCACTAGATATGACGCCTCGGCGGTGGGCTGGGTCCTTGGAACAGAACTCGCGCAGCGCCTCGTGGGCAACGAGGCGCGGCCCGCCCGTGTCGGCGCAGCCGAAGGCCTACCGCCGCCGCAACCGCCGCCGTCGTTGCCGCCATCGCCGCCGTCACCGCCGCCGTCGCCGTCGCCGCCGCCGTCGCCATCGCACGCGCCGCCGTCGTTGTCGTCGCTGTCAACGTTGCAACCGTCGCCGCCCTAGTCCATTGCTGTCGTCGTCGCCGCCGTCATCGCCGTCGCCGCCCGAGGAGGGGGAGAAGGAGGAAGCGGGGAGCTGGTTTGAACCCTTGGGCCGATCCGGGTGGGCCAAGCTGCACCCAAACGAAGGCACACCGCCCCGAGACAGAGCCGAAGCCCTGCCCCACGCAAGGCACGGCAGATACAAGTTTCACCATCATTAGGCGCATCCGGCCTAAGCGGCACGACCTTGCGGAACACCTGAACCGCGACCTTCGTGATGGGCCTGTTTTCCACCACCACCACCGTAAGTTGGAGGGGGAGGGGGTCCTCCTCCACCTCCTCCTCCTCCTCCTTCTCCTCCTCCTCCTCCTCCGCCTCCTCGTCCTCCTCCTCGCCCCCCCATCCAACTTATGGTGGTGGTGGTGGTGGTGGAAAACAGGCCCGTCACTTCGGAGCGCCCAGCAGCAGCTCCAGGCGCGACTTGGCAGGAATGCAGCCTCAGAGGGAGGCGCAGGCACCAGCAACAAGGCGGGCGGGCGACACCGCTCGGCACACGGCAGCTGCCCGCTCAACCCACAGGAGCAACCGAGCCCCAAGGCCAACGCAAGACTTGTCGCGGAGCCCTGCCCGCGAATTCGCGCGCGTGCAGCTCCGCACGCGGCACAACGACGCCACGCGCGGCGCCCATCGCCCCGCCCCCTCCTCCCTGGGGCCGCCTGGATGAAGATGACGACGATGATAATGATGATGATGATGACGGTGATGGTGATGATGATGATGATGATGATGATGATGATGATGATGATGATGATGATGCTTATGATGCTGATGATGCTGATGATGCTGATGATGCTGCTGCTGCTGATGATAATGATGATGATGATGATGATGATGATGATGATGATGATGATGATGATGATGAGGATGAGGATGAGGATGAGGATGATGATGATGATGATGATGATGATGATGATGATGATGATGATGATGATGATGATGATGATGATGATGATCACCCCAACGCGGGGGCGGCTGCGGTGAAGGCCGATCCGAGGACCGACGCTGCAAACCCAAGTAAGACAAAGCCAGGACCATGATAACATCGGGTGAAGACAATCTGGGAATCTCTGAGATCCGGCGGCTCTGGAGGATGTCCCGAGCGCCGCGGCCTTCTCCGAGCGTTCTGGAACGCTCTGAGACCGTTCCAGAACGCTCTGGAACGGACTAGCCTCGTCCCAGCTCCGTCCAACGAAGGCAGGGCTGGTGATTCACGTAGCCTGGTTAGAGATTCGAAGCAAACATGACCTCAGATCTCCGACGATCTGATATTTTCAGTCTGGGCGCCATTCCTCGAATTCGGCCTCCGGGGCCAGCAAAAACTGATCTGGGGCAAAGAACTACCCCAGGGAAAGGGGTAGGGAGTTTGGGGGCCGCGTATTGAAACAATCATATCGCAGAACGCCTGGGCATTCGAAGCATTTTGCGAGCCGACTTGGATGCCCAGGGAAAAGGCAATGGCCCGGAAGTCGCCGCATAGAAGCTCTAGCACCAACGTTCGGTACCGCACACTGTCCCGGATCAGCAACCGGCCAGCTGGGCGAGGTCCAAAAGTTTATGACGAACCCTAGGAGGGAGATGGATGGGGGGAGGCCGCATGATGAAGTCATCCGAAAAGCGACGGCTTCTCAACTGCTGAACAACGGCAACCAAGGGGGACTCAACGATGCAACAGCTGACCAAGGAGGAAAAGCAGGAGAGTAGGAGGAAATGGCGTAGCAGGGGGAAATGTAAACGAGACTTTCCGTCGGTCCATGAAGGGGGGAGGCCACCTCCTCCTCATCCTGCTCCATGTTTCTCCTCCTCGGTCTTCCTCGCTCCTCCTGCTCCCTCTCCTCCTCCTCCTCCTCTTCCTTCTCCTCATCCTCCTCCTCCTCCTCTTCCTCTTCCTCCTCCTCCTCCTCCTCCTCCTCCTCCTCCTCCTCCTCCTCGCTCCTCCGCCTCCTCCTCCTCCTTCTCGGATTCGCCCCTCCACCTCGTTTCTCCTCCTCATCGGTCCTCCTCCGAACCAGAGGGGTCTCCGCGATTCTCCTCCTCGCTCCTCGCTCCTCCTTATCCGCCTCCTCCTCCTTCTCCTCGGTCGTCCTCGCTCCTCCTGCTCCTCCTCCTCCTGCCGTCCCTCGTCCACGTCCTCCTCCTCCTCCTCCTCCGCCTCCTCCTCCTCCTCCTCCTCCTCCTCCTCCTCCTCCTCCCAAGCCTCGAATATCGGCCTCCTGAGCAGTCTCCAGGTGCGTTTGGACGAGAATCCTACCAACTATCTGGGCGTGGGTGGGTTTGCTCGATAGTCTGTCCAGCCTTCTTCTCCCTCGCGGAAGGGTTTGCCCATCGCCAGAAGACGACCCCCAACCCCCGCCTAGGGCCTAGAACAGCCTCTTGGCCTCCTGGGGGTCTCTAAGGGCCGTTTCGGGGGGCGGCTAGAGGCCAGCTGGGGCCCCTCGGGATCCTCTTGGGGGCACTATTCAAACTATCTCGAGGCCTCTGGGGGAGTTCCAAGCGAATGTGATGGATGCTGGCTTCCCGCTGGCCCTGTTTTGCCCCACATATCTTCTCTTGGGGCGCGCAGATTTTACTTCCGCCGCCTTCCGCCGAGTTTCTGCCAACGGATACGGCCTCGTTTTACCTCCGAGGGCTTCCGCCGCCTTCGATTTTCGAAGGCCACATTCACTTTGGAACGCATCATTTGGGGCCACTCTGGCCGCCGTGGAGGCTGTCTTGGCACTTCTTGTCTCGCCTGGTCTCGTCTTGTCGTGTCTAGTCTCGTCTGGCCTAGTCTCTTCTTGCATCGTCTTTGGTCGTCTTCGGGGGTCTATGGCCCTCCTGCAGACTCAAGCGCGCCAGGGTCCTGGCCAGGCGCTCACTGGAGGGGTTCGCCCACCCTGTGAGGGGAGAGGAAGTCCGTCCGCCTGCGGCCTGAAGGGCGTCCCCTGACGTCCCATTGGGGCGTCCAAGATGGCTCGAAAAAGGCCCAAAGATGGCGTCAGGCAGTCCAAGAAACCCGAGATGGCTTTGGAGTGGCCACTGGGTCTTCCAAGGATACCCGGGAGGGCAGCATCCTTCAAACACCACAACATGTCAATGTTGAGCGTTAATTACTAAACAATGATTATTGTTGGATCCCCCAGGCGCCTTGGCGCTCTCGCCTCGGCACCAGCTACATGTTCATCGAAAATGAGGCTAACGCTCGAGCGGTTGGGGGGGCGACAAAACCAGCCCCCCAACAACAACAACGCTCCCGCTCGAGACTTCCTCCTATTTTACTCAAGGCGGTGCTCCTCCTCGCCGCCGAAAGCCGCCGTCCCCCAAAAAACAGCGCTACCGCTTGAGACTTCCTCCCGTTCTACTTTGGACTGGCGCGGTACTCTTTCTCTCATCGGCGCCGCCCCAACAACTACAACAACAACAACAACAATTACTAGCACGTGGGGGCACTCCGTTCTCACCAGTGCCAGGGTTTTCATACGACGCCCGCCAATACCCCCACTTTGTGGGGGGGCCGGTTCAAGCTCTACCACATTTCCAAACGACTCTTCGCCACCACCCACACCCAGCTTCCCGCCCTATGACGTTCGGACACTTCACTTCGTGGCCTGCGGACGACCGTGGCTACTACACTGGCGCATGGGTACAGTGACTTGTTGTGGTAACATTTTCTGGACGCTAGCTTAGTATACGACTTTTCCCCCTGTTCCAACACTGGACACCTGTACTGGTTTTTGGTGGTAACGTGTTCCTGACGCTAGAATAGGAAACCACGGTAAACCAGTACGACGCCGGTACTGTCTGTAGGTCCTACAATGATATGGACTGCTTTGGCTGGTGAGGCGCTAGCGTCTGATACGACGTTTTTCCGTTGCTCGCAAAAGCCCGTTTGACAGAAATGTTTAAAAAGTGTTGGGTTTCCTACAAATCCGCAAGAGCGCGCGGGATGAAATTTTGACACTTTTTTTTTTTTTTGAAAAAAAAAACATTGTTTTTTTGATGTTTTTATGTTAAAATCGCTACGAACACTAAGGTTTTGGAAGGATTTCGTCTTGCGCGCGCGAATGTCCACTTTACCTTATTTTTGCAAGGGATTCTTGAAGTTTGGTTATGTTAGAACAAGAAATGTCCACTTTGCCTTATTTTTTGCAAGGGAAAACCGCCCGTAACAAAACAACCGGATCCGGACCAACCCGTTTTGCCAGAGACTTCCTCACGAAAATGATGAAAACGTGGCTGCGGCCTAGGCGCGGCGAGGGGGCCGTGCACCAGGGGCCCCAACAATAATTATTCTTTAGAAGTAATAATGCAACAACAAAACAACAACAACAACAACAACAACAACAACAACAACAACAACAACAACAACAACAACAATCACTTTACCCGAACGCTCAGTGTTCTCACCAGTGCCAGGGTTTTCATGCGACGCCAGCCAATACCCCCACTTTGTGGGGGGGCCGGTTCAAGCTCTACCAAATTTCCACACGACTCTTCGCCACCACCCACACCCAGCTTCCCGCCCTATGACGTTCGGACACTTCACTTCGTGGCATGCGGACGACCGTGGCTACTATTCAGGGCCCCGCGGCCGACGACGACGGCGTGCGCGCGCGAAGAAAAAACGAATGTGTCCCGCATGGTATTATTTGACAGGGATGATGGCCCTGGCAGGTGCGCAACCGTTGTCGCAGAAGTTCGAAAAAGTTGCTCGCAAAAGCCCGTTTGACAGAAATGTTTAAAAAGTGTTGGGTTTCCTACGAATCCGCAAGAGCGCGCGGGATGAGATTTTGACAATTTTTTGTTGAAAAACCATTGGTTTTTTGATGTTTTTATGTTAAAATCGCT